ACTAGCATCCAACATCTTGCCATGAAACCGTGTGTTAGATCTTTTTATCTCCTTTGTCAAACCCTTCAGCCTTATGGCTCTCTCCTCCGGGGTCAAGGGCGCTTCCCCTCTATCAGCCGGATGATACATCAGTAAATTCTTGGCAGTGTACTTCCAACCTTCCAAAGTACTAACAGGCTGATCAGACGTCCCATATCCATATGTAGTAATTTGCTCTCGTTTATCCCCATCCTCAATCAAATTCTCTGAATCATCTCCCCTTTTCTCACCTTCTAACAAAAACTCATGCTTCTCCTTCTCCTTCCTCTTCCTATTCACTTTCTCTATAAGTCTCGAGAAGTTGTCTTTGTCCTCACTGGTGTATTTCCTAAAGAAGTCATCCAAACTCATCGAAGTATCCACACCTTCTTCTCCTTCACCGTCGCCATTTCCCGCTTTGCCCTCATCTTTAACAAGACTTTCTTTGTTCTCATTATAAAGTGAGGGGGTAACTGAGGTGTTCCTGAAGAAGGTGGATCCGGGAGTGCTTGTTGTGGCCCGGAACGAAGCATCGACGGTGGATTCTTTTCGCAGCCGACGTCGATCAAGAATCTTGAGCTGGGCGTCGCGAATGAGCAGGGGATCATGCGAGCGCACGGCTTGTAGCCAGTCGAGTCGGTCCTGGAGCTTCGGGATGTCGGGGAAGAAGTCTCGCTCTATAATTTTCTCGATCACCGCAACATACGTGTCCTCGTCGAGGACAGTGGAATCCCGGTGTCGTTTCTGAATCGGAATTAGAAACAAGGGAACTGGTGTTAGGATTAAGATTTTGTGGCGTTTGATTGGAGGGGGTAGCGATGTGGCGGGGGGAGTGGCCAGGGGATAGCAACATGATAATTGTTACAAAAATGCTACTTGTACATAATTTTTCTACATATTGGTACACATAATACTCACATGGGATGGGACCCATTTTAAAAGCGAGTCCCACCCCACGTGAGTATTATGTCAACCCCTATGTTATCTCCTATGTACCCCAAGCAAAACTCTAATTGTTAATCTATTGTTCTCGCAGTATTTTGTCGTATTTGATTTGATTGAATTTGGGGCGCTAGATTGAAATTGAGGTTTGAGAACCGAGAGGACACGGTTTGATTCCAGTGGACTTCTTTTTGCATTTCTTTATTTATATATTTTTTATTCTCCTTTCTTTTTTCATTGGCCAAATATATTCAACGGTTTCTAATAATTAGACTACATTTTAATTTCATGACCTCTATACATTATTATATTTATGTTTCAATTTTTTCATCGCATTCTTAAACTCAAATTATTATAAATTGTTCCTGATTATGATTTTTCTCCAAATTTTATTTAAGGTAAAACAAAAAAAAACCCATTTGTCCATTATACTTTTAAATANAAAAACCCATTTGTCCATTATACTTTTAAATAATCAACATATATAAAAATACGATTAAATATTTAACCTTAATTTTAAAGCACGTTATTAATATTTCTAAATTAAAATTGTGATTTATGATAAGATTTTGAATTAAAATCGAGATTTAAAGCAAGTTATTAATATTTTTGAAATGTTTTAACATAATAATATGATGAAGAAAAAATTATAACGAGTAAAGATTAATAACTTTTGAAGTAACTAAAATTTAGTAATTTAGGGATGGACATTTTTTTTCAGAAATGGTGGAAATGAACCGGATAGAACTGATCGGTTCGGCTCTTGTTCCTCTATTAAACGTGTTGATTTTGGAAACATGCATCGAGGATTGGTCGATTTCAATCTGATTCTTGGTACTGTCTTGAGAGAACCAACAGTGAATTCAATTCTTCTTAATTTTTCTTTTTATTTGCACCATGATAGTTTATATCTTTGAACACTAGATCCCAAAATTATCCCATGTTAAAATTTTATTTTTCATATGCTTCTTCTTTCCTTTAATGATGATCAAAATTCAAGTCTAAATAATTTTGTAAATACTTTACTGTCTTTACAAATTCAAAGTTTTAATATGATCAAATAGGAAAAATATAATTTTAGTTCAATATTTAATAAGAATTCAAATTTCTATTTTCAAAGTGGCCAACCATCAAGAATCAAAATAATTGGGAATTACTAAAGTTAATCAGATAATTGTGGTGAATGCCTCGACACATTTCCCTTTATTACGATGTCCCTCTTTACATTTTATGTTTTAATTGTATATAAACTCATCATTTTTATCATTTATCACTGTAATATAAAAAATAGTCTACTATGAAACACACGTACAACCATGAAATTTGGTATACATAAAAGGCACGTCAAATGTGACAATTCAAACATGCCAAATTACCTTATCGACGAATTTAAGTCTGCGTTCACAAGTGCACTATTAAAAAAGTCATTACATTTTTATCATTATTTTTCTATTGGTTTATTTCTAAGTTGTTGCTTTTAATTAATTATGCTCCTGAAACTAGCTCCACCGTTGGATCTCATTGTATCGTGTTGTTTAACTTAGATTGAGAAGTGGCTTTGTAATTTGAATTCATAAAAGAACTTGGATTACATTATGAGTGATTCCTCTATATCTAGGACACTATGATAAATCAATGTAAATTGTTGTTTCTAAATTCGCATATACGTATCATACTTATGGAACTTAATCTACTAGTGAAAACCATTGCGTTTCATAGCCAATAACAAACCGAAAAGTGAACGAATTCTGAGAGTTTGTTTGACATTGCTTTTGAAAAGTCAAAATGAGTTTTTGAGACGTAAATGCTGCTTTTGGATTCGTTCGACTAATTTTATGAGAGAACTTTCTTTTTTAGTTAGAAGGGCTTTTACAGGAAATTAGTCAAATGAGGCTTTTTTTTCTAAAAACACTTTTGAAATAGATAATTCTTTAAAACTTAGTTTTCAAACAAAAATTAAAGTAATTTCCTTCAAAAACTCTTATACAGGAATCAAAAGCAAAAGTCACGCCGAATGGACCTTTATTTACTTTTTAAAATTACTAGCAAATGTTTTACAATCTTTATTATTGTTTTGAGCCATTTTCATTTCGATTGCTAACATTAGCTAATCTTTACACATCAATTGCATTTCTTTTAGAGCTCTTTAAAAGACACGAGTCGATCCTATAGTATCCCGGCCAACACATCTCGAAATCGAGTTTAACTTTCTTTTCTCGTTGAATTTTATTTTATTTTTATTTTTTATCTTACTATCAATTGATCTTGCTGCTAGAACAATATGCCATATGCATTTTATTTTATTTTTTCACAAAAAAAAAATAATAATAATCTTTGATTGGCCGTTATGAAAATGCATATAATTTGGTAGTTAATTGTTAATTATTTGTTTGATTGATTGAATGTTTCCCCTAAATTGATTTCAATTAATATTGATTAATTAATTAAGACATTTTTTTATGTAGTTGATTGAATAATTGAATAAACAGTTTCCTTTGCAGATATTTGATAGATATATTTCTATGTAAAAATGGGTCCATATATGGATCTGGATATGATAGATTTGTGTCCATTTATGTTCAATCTACTATATAAATGCTGTTACTTTTCACTTATAATCTACAAATTAATTATCAGTAAAAAGAAATGGATTCAAGCTCAGTTTTTCTAAGGATTTCTCTACTTATGTTTTTGTTCATCTTTACTGCTTATAAGAATGTTCATGCAGCTAACATTTTCAGTATCAGAGATAACAAAGCCATTCCAGATGGAAAAACCGATTGTAGCCAGGTATGTATATATCTGCTTCCATGTGTATTCAAATATTAATGTAGCATTCGATGACTTATACGTATGTACGTACGTACGTACGTACGGTGCAGGCCTTATCGAGTGCGTGGGCGAAAGCGTGTGCAGTCGATGGGGGCACGGTTCTAGTCCCGTCTGGTACGTACTACGTGAAATCTGCACTGCTTCAAGGTCCGTGCAATGGCAAAACAATTTTCAGTGTAATGGGAACTCTAAAGGCTTCTGCTGCTCCAATCAGCCAAGAAAGTTGGATCGAATTTAATCATGTAGATAACTTGGCGATTACTGGAAACGGCGTTTTTGATGGTCAAGGAGCTTCGACTTGGGCTCATAAACACAATCAGAATGCTAAGAACTTTTCTCCTGGTACTCCTGTAAGTTATTTCTACTCCTAGTTTAATATATCCACCGTCACAAGGACAATCGAGGTTTTATTTGTATTGCAATAATGTATAAGTGTACGAAAATAGCGAGCACACCATCTCATTTTCATACGCGTTTTTCACAGTCCTTGAAGTTAAAATTTGTGAGGAATTCATCGATCGAAGGGATAACTTCGATGAATAGCAAGATGTTCCATGTCCATGTGAACAACTGCGATGGCTTAGTGATTAACCACGTGTCGATATTGGCTCCGGAAGACAGTCCCAATACCGATGGAATCCACGTTGGCGCGTCGAATAATGTACATATCAGCAATGCGAAGATTGCCACTGGAGATGACTGCATATCATTGGGTCCTGGAAGTACAAACATCGACATTTCTAGCATTAAATGTGGACCTGGCCATGGTATAAGCATTGGAAGCTTAGGAAAATACCCTGACGAGGAAAACGTTGCTGGCATTACTGTAAGAAATTGCACTTTAAGCAACACTCAAAATGGAGTGAGGATCAAAACATGGGCACCTTCTCCGCCGAGCTCGGTCTCCGATGTTACATTTCAGGACATTATTTTAAATAATGCTTATAATCCCATCATCATCGATCAACAATATTGTCCCAGCAATACCTGTAGCCATAAGGTACGTTCAAATAATTGGATTTACGTACGATGTACGTTTATTGATCTTTACGAATTTACGAGCCATGTTTCGTGCTATATAGGGAGAATCGAGTGTTCAAATCAAAGGCGTGAAGTTCATAAACATACGCGGAAGTTCATCAATTCCTGCTGCAGTAAACGTCGTATGTAGCAAAAGTAGGCCGTGCCAAGATATCGAGTTTTTGGGCCTAAACATTATTGTGAATGGCAAGGGACAACCAACAACAGCTACATGCTCTAATGTCAATGCAAAGTTTCTAGGAAATCAAGTTCCTACACGTTGTGCTTAAACATTTTTAGTTGTTTTTCACATGTATTAGATGATTTAATTTAGGTTCCTATGTTGTAAGAAATTTCAGAATAAGATTGAGTGAGTTGAAAAATACGTCCCTTACGTGCACTTCTCTATGTTTACGCTCGTAATTTAAAATCCAATTACATCGAAAGTTCTTAAATAAAAAAAGATTTTTGAAGTGGGAATATCAATTACATCAATTTGTCCGAATTTGTCATCGTACGATGAAAATTAAATTACAACAAATCATAGAATATGTTAAAAAATATAATTGACTTAAATTAAATACTTAGAAATGAAATCAACTAATCTTACTCAATATATGGTACCAAATATACCACAAAAATCAAATCAAAAGTCTTTAAATGATTAAGGTTATTTGCTAAAATGTTACTATATTTAATTATCAATCCTACAAAAAATATTCCAAATTTACTTGGAAAATTCTTCTTCGTTACAAAATATAACCTTAAGTTTTCATTTGTTAAATAATCTCTTAGGTTAATAAATAGAGTTTAATTGTAACTATTTGCTAGAATGCGTATTTAATAATGTAAGTTTTAAATTGGTCGGCAAGGCAAATTAATTTGTACGGGTAAACTATAGGAACCCTGCTACAAGTATAGGGATTTTTGCCAGAAAACATACAGAAATTTGAAATGAAGGGAAATGATTAAAAGATTGGAGGAGAGAAAATACACACACGAGAACAGGATTGAAGCATTTCAAATTTCTGAAAAAATCTGTCAAAATTTCCTGTACTCAAGGAATTTTTCAAACTATAGAAACCTTCCTGAGGGTTATGACAATTTCAAAGACATTCCCTTACTTTTTAAAAATTACACAAACCTCCTCTATTTCAATTTCGGAATAACTCACACCTCCATTAACTATTTTCTTCACATGTTGTATAACTAATAGTGGCAATGCCTAAATAACTTTAGGAACTTGTGGCTTCTTTAATACTTTAGCACTCTATTGATTTGACTAATTCTATTAGGAAACACACGATGGAAGAAATTCACTTGCCGTATAATGTCAAATGAGTACTCAGAAATTTGATAGTTGCGATGAAAATGATTTGATTGCTTATTTGATCTCCTCTTTACTAATCTTGTAAGTTTAGTTTTTATAATCTTTCGTCGGTAACTTATTTGACTATCGAAGTACAAATGGTGGTCAACTTACCTTTCGAAATACACGTTAACAGGGTGCTTTTGACAAACAAAAAATGAGGTAGTCATGATCTGTT